AATAATGTTTCCTACTTACTAGAAAAATTTCAAGTCTTTAGAAAAATAATTACTGAATAAATGCCGGAACTACAAAATGTCTATTTATCACAGTAATTTATTTAACCTTTAACACTAACTCACAAATTTAACTGACCCGTGTACTCAAAATATAAAACACAAAGAGCATATTGGTTTGAATTCACAAATCACATAACCACTAAAACCCGTTGTTATGTTTTTTAATATTGCCATCTAATTTTAGTAACATTTATTAGCAAAAAAGCAATGACCGTCTACAGACGGTCATAACGGTTAGAGGGTTAAGCAACATTAAATTATCTGAAAAAGTTGTACAAGCTTCAGTTGTCATGGCAACAGTAGCTTTTTATGAAAATCATCAATATGTTTGTCAGTTTGCAAGGAATTCAGTAAGGTATTTCAAAGTCATTGAAAGTTGGTATAGATATTACAAATATCAAAAGAAAAAAACTAAGTAAGGGGTGTCCCGTTTTCTGCGATACAAAACTTAGACACCTCTAATGTACGTACAGACGTTTTTAAATGGATATATTGGTGTGTATTTGTGCGCATGTTTGAGTATACATACGTGTGTACATAAATATCTGAGTTCTATGTATGTATATACATTAGAGAGTACGATCACGATGTGTGGGCCAAAAAAGTTTAATTTGATCCAAGCAATTCCAACAGTCTTTAGGAAGGAGAGTGTTTCAGAAAAGTAAAAGTTGTTACGGAACACTATAAAAACAACTAAGGCGGTTTTTAACCGACTTCCAAACAAAATTACGAGGGTATGAATTCTTCGGAATTTTTTTTATATTTTTTTTAGGCATGTCACCGCATGGGTTTGGACCACGTGAACCGATTTCGATTATTCTTTCCTATCGGAAAGTAACAATACTTATTTGGTTTAGTTTGGATCATGAAAGTATATAGGCTTTTTCATACCTTTACAACGGTGTTTATAGAAATCGGACATGAAATAAAGTAGTTATAGAAAAGAACGATTTAGCTGCTTTTACAGGGTGCCAAAAAAGTTTTCACTCCTGAAATACTCTCACAGTGAGTGTGCAAGACCGCTTAAAACAAAGAACTTTTTTTGTGATACGCTCTAATGTACATACATACAAACATACCGACCCATGCAAGAATGTACATACATATGTAGCTCTATCGTATGTGCATTTAGCCGCTCGCGCTGCTTGAAGTCTCGACAATTTTCCGTTTTAATTTCTGCTAAGTATTCTTCTATTTTTATGAGGTCAAGTTGAAGAAAAATTAAAATAATTTTATTTTGGCACTATTTTTGGTTTTTACAAAAAATTTGTTGTTGCCGTCGCCAAAACAGTCTCGCGCAAGAATTGTAATGGGATTGTCGCTTCCTGTTTATGTCGGGTACTTAATTGTGATGCGAAAAAATCTTAGAAAATTTGTGAAACATAAACTTTCAAATAAACCTATCAGGTATCGGGAGTTTAAAAGGCGCAATGTGTGAAATATAATTTATGTTGCGGTAGATTTTTTTTTAATTTTTTTATGTGGTTATGCATAAATATGAAAATGAATACCTTAAGAAAATATAATTTTGAACAAACACGGCTTGTACAGATGTGTGTACGTATGTATAGCAAATAAATCAAATAGTTTGGAATTTATAAAAAATTTAAAAATTCAAAATATATGCACGAATATGAACAGCGCTGCGTGCACGTGTAAACTTTGGAGTTGAATAGATGAACACAAATTAATCAAATTAATCAGTATTAAAAGCATACTACGCTCGAATTCTTTACCAGCGCCCTCTTATGTAAGCTTCTTTATTTAATACTCTTTGCATGCCGTCTTTCTCTTAGCCTAACGGTACTTGGCCTTTATATTTTTATCCAAAAGAATTTGCTTCAACTCTTTTCGATTGAAAGGTATCGGATTTTGACTAAATATTTACAAATAATTCGTATGTAATTCATTACTTGCCGTTATTTTGTCCATGATCCAGTCATCGGAACTAAACTAAATTAGTATGGGAAAACCCTTGAGGTACCACCCTTCCAATATAAAACGAAATATCGAAAGTTATGCGAAAGAAAGAAATCCGAAAGAAGCTAAGTCATTTTACTGATAATTATATTTTCCAACCTCGGGGTCTGGGCTTCTCAAGGTGGTTACCCAAGATAGGCGGAAAAACTGTGATCACCTTATGTTTAGGTGGTAAACTTTGTAGAAGCGGAGCCGAGTCAGAAGCTGAACCTAAAGAAGGAAAACAGTAAAGCAGTTGTACGAACGTTATCATAGTGCGAGCGGAAACGAAGATTAGGATGTTGTGTGGGTTATAAATCGCAAGCAATACTCCTTCAACTTTTTCCTCATCTCCGTATTCAGCTTTGCTTTCACTCTGTTTGTAACACAAGTCTTATGACAGAGACTTGTAAAGGTCTGCCGGGAGGCCAGCCTTGGACTTTGTCCCATTTTCTTCACATTCACTTTGCAACATCGAAGAAAAGGTGATCTGATAACAGTCTCGTTAATCCAGTTTTTATACCCAATTATTTCCAATGAACTGTTTGGCCGAGCTTCTCCTCCGATTTGTGGCGTGCGCCTTGTTGTTGTCACACAAAGCAAAGGGACCTACAGTTTTACGCCGACTCCGAACGGCGATTGTATTTTTTGTGAGAAGCTGTTTTTCATGACAGCAATACACTCGGAGGTTTGCCATTGCCTGCCGAGGGACGATGCGATGTTGCTTTGACCAGGGTTCGAACCCTGGTGCTGCGGAGTGGAAGCGCGCGCTGCTTACCACTACATCACAGCGGCCAAACACTAACATATGTGTAAGCGCCAATCTATTTCCAATGAACTATATCCAAGTATAAGACAATTTTTGCTTTGCGATCCCAATCTACATAATTTCCTATCAAGGGCAGAAGGGCAATGCAGTGGCCTCATGCATAAAAAGTTAGCTTAAGCTCACACTTCATTTTTGTATCGATGGATTAAGCTCAAGCTCAAGAAATTGTTCTGAAAATCGTATCGAGCTTAAGCACACTTTTTATGCATGCGGCCCAATATACCCAGATATCATTTAGCGGAGTTAACTACCAAGCCTTCCCTGTTATACCAATCCAAAAGTTTATTGAGTAACCCTTATCAAAAGTTAGTAGGTGGCGATAGATACCTTCGCTACTTTCAATTACTTTAAGCATCCTCTGCCTCTACAGATTAAGCATATTCTGACGGGCCCCTGCAAAACTACTCCACGCGACTACTCCATGCATGCGTGTAAAGAGTACTCCCTAAGGACCAAGGAATACTCCAAAATTAACCACAATTCATATAAAAAATATCTGCCAATTAGCATTGCGATGTCCTAGGGCAGGACCATATACTCCATCCCTGCATTACATCACACACAGTAGCACAAAACTACTCCAACATATTAACAATGGCATTGTTGTTATATTNCTGCCAATTAGCATTGCGATGTCCTAGGGCAGGACCATATACTCCATCCCTGCATTACATCACACACAGTAGCACAAAACTACTCCAACATATTAACAATGGCATTGTTGTTATATTTTTTCGTTTGTACACGCTTTTGTTCTTCTCTTCTCAAATGCTTTTTCGAAGTTAATAAAAACCAAGACAAAAATTAAAAAATACATGCATTCGAACCCGAACATGCTGGGAGCTAAGAACTAACAGCGAGCATCTCTACACGTTCAGCTACAGCCAGACATGCAAATGTGCTTTCAAATGCTCAACTTCAATCACGTTCCGTTAAAACACGAGCAGGGATCGGATAACAAACAATAAGCTGGCGCCCAGACACGAGTTGGTCCGCTACAGCATGACAGAGGAACACTTTTGTAAGTAAGACTTCTTGAAAATTGTGGAATTCCTACTGTTATGTCTTAAACTGTAAATCTCCGAACTGCATTACTTAGGTCCCCTTTTACCTTGCAAATTTATCTCAATAATCAACCAAATTGCAATTATTCTAATCACTCCTCAGAAACTGTGTGAGATCGGGAAACTCCAATTCATATGTGTTTTCAAGGCGAAATGTCGTAAAATCAGAGAGTACTTTAAAAGCTACATTTTGAAATCATAACACCTTTGACGGAAGAGTGACTCTATACCGTATAAGCATTCGCTTAGTTCCAATTCCTGGCATTGATTTTTAATCAGTTTTAAAATCCACTCGTAATCGACGCCTTAATATCAAGAACCTGGTTAATAGATGGCGAAGTTTATTAGTGACCGGATATGGTACCTCTAAAAGTGACAAGAATGCTTGATAAAATTTTTATAATTTTTTGCGGAGAAAAAAAAGTTATATTTTTTTTTTTTTGTAAAATACGACTATTAAAATTGTCTAATATCAAAATTTTATTTACTTTCAGAGACTTGCAGCTTGGATTCATATACTTAAAAGCAGCTATAACTACAGTTGGTTTTCTGCTGTGAGCGCACATCCGCACCTATTGTGGACGCGTGCAGTCGTAAAAAGCGACGCCAGGCTCCGTTGTCACCACTGCAGCTGCGGCTTCAGACCCAGCGAGTTTTATGGTGCTTCAATTATTTTGTAACAGAAAAAAATAAGAACGGTGCAGACGTTATAGCCACGTTTGAAAAACGTGGTAAGCTTTGAAACTCCTACATAAAAATCTTCGTACATACATACATACCTACGAACCAAAATAAGGAGCATTTTATAAGTGTGAACTCGAGAACGTCAAATTGACGAAGAGCCGCTCACAGAGCTCTGGCATACGCTACGTCCATTAAACGTAGCAAAAGCAAAGGCTAAGTAGTGAAAAACAAAAGAAAAAGAAAAAATTCAATAACAAATAAGGCCGAGTACAATAAACGAAACTTTGCTGAAATCCATTGTGTTCAAGAAGAAATCAGGCTAAAACTAAAAAAACAACAAAACAATTTCAAAACCACCATTTGGAACAACAAAAAAAAAACACACACACCTGTAACAGAGTAACTTAAATTTTTTATACTAACCTTCACACAAGTGAGCTTTCATCCAGCACATCCTCTCATCTGGTAACCCGCATAGTAACACATAAAATCACCCAAAATGGTTGCAAATCAAACAAACACAAAAAGTAAACCAGACGGTGTAGTTTATCAACAACTATCCACGCCGACGGACATGCAGTCGATCGTTCCGTCAATGACGCCAACACCCACAACCACACCACTAAATAAATCACTCAAGCACGAATTCTTTCCCGAGGTTAAATTCTGTGACCTCTCGGCAAGCGACTTACATAGTGCTGACGAAGATTACGCCCCCAATGAACGTCTCCTAAGGCATTGTCTCATCACAGTTGAGGATGCCAATGGCGGTATCACTACCGCCACCACAACAACACTGGCTATGTTGGAGGGTAATGATGTGAAGAAACGTACTCGTCTAATCTCAAACGAATCGGGCGACTCGATTGATTCGGGCTCTAGTGATAAGAAAAAGCCAGAAATACCAGATGGCGGCTACGGTTGGGTTGTGGTGTTTGCCTCGCTCGTTGTTTCCCTCATCGCAGATGGGTTGTCTTTTTCCTTTGGTCTTATCAATTCAGAATTGTTGGACTATTTCGGAGAGTCACCATCGAAAACTGCGTGGATTAGTTCGTTGTTCTTTTCGGTGCCGCTGCTTATGGGACCCATTTGGTCAAACCTGGTGGATAATTATGGCTGTCGTAAGATGACGATATTTGGTGGACTGCTCTCCGCCTTCGGTTTTGGTCTGTCTTCGCTTTGTAACTCAGTGGAAATGCTAATGTTGACTTTTGGCATAGTTTCTGGGTTGGGACTGGGTATTGGTTACGTCACAGCAGTGGTATCGATTGCCTTCTGGTTCGATAAGAAACGCACATTTGCTACGGGCATCGGCGCATCTGGCACTGGCATCGGCACCTTCCTTTATGCACCACTAACGCAATGGTTAATCGATAACTACGGCTGGCGCGGTGCTACGCTTATACTTGCCGGCACAATGCTGAATACTTGCGTGTGTGGCGCGCTAATGCGTGATCCCGATTGGCTAATCGAGGAAAATCGTCTGGAAAGTCGTTCACAAAGTGTGACAACATTTTCCAATTCAAGCGTGTGTCTCGAAGAAATCAAAAAACTACTTGATACTGGTGTGACAAAGGAAGCTGTACTTGATACGCTGGTGACTAAAAACAACACCGAAGCTAACCAGCAAATTAACGATCCACATGAGTTTGTGATGAAACGCTATCGCAGCGAATTATTCTTACCGACTTTCTTAGTTTCGCAGGAATTAGAATGTCTATACGAGATCAAGAGTCTGAGTCGGCGCTCGCTACGGCAAAAGGATGGCGTTGATGCACCTTCACGTGAAAATTTGTTATCCATGTCTTCGGCTGGTCCCAACCCCACGGCGACTATAATTGGCTCGCCGGACGACACAATGATGGGCGGTATTGCCGAAAGTGCAGCTGAAGATGCAAAGAAAAGCTACTTGGCTTCGATGGAGACACTCTCACCATCTGAAAAGAATTCGCTGGATGGTGAAATGCCCTCTCGAACATCTTTGTCTGTGGAACGCAACTTTCACGACGCCTATTCCAAAGCACTCCCGCCAACGCCACGCGAGTACCAACGGAATAGCAGTAACGATGGAAATATCGCCAACTCACGCTACTCACTTAATGAGAACTTTTTCAGCACGAAAAATGCAACCACATCCTTTGTGGATCTTAAGCCAAATGGTTTGCGACACAATTCAGTCGATATACTGAGTGATGAAACTTACTATATGTCAATTAAAAACGATACCGCAGGACTTATAGAGGGTAATTTAAGAAAGCTAAATAACGGTCGGGCAATCATTTCGATACCGGAAAATGAAACAATCAATAAGCCAACAAAAAGGGCACGTACCGATAGTATTAGCGGCATGCGACGACTATCTAAGTCTAAGAAGCCGATGACACGCTCAAGTTTGAGGTACAACACCTCAATACGTAATTCGAATTTCCTGAAAAATATGCGAATACATCGCAACTCAATACATTACCGTGGCGCGATGTTGAATACACATCGCTATCGATTACGTGCATCCTCGTGTCCGAATATCTACAGAAACTCCATGACGACGATCGCAAAGGAGGAAGAAGATGTAAGTATCAAAGTTTATAAAATCTTAGCAATTAAAAAAGACAACTAATTCAGTTAGCAGAGAAAAAAGTAAGGTTAGGTTAAGATAAGTTAAATGAAGTTTAGGTTAGATTGTGTTGCCTTGGTCAATTAGAGAGTTATAAATTGACTCTCAAAATCAAAACTAAAGCGCGGTTTTTGGGAGACAAAAGATGTATTACCGGACTCTAAAAGATAACAAAATGAATGTGTAGTATGAGTAGTATTACGTACTTAAGAGTGCTCATAGACTGTAAGATGATATCCAAAACTGGGTGTTAATATGGAAAGTGCCAATATGTAGGCTTCTTGTGAACGAAGTGACTTACTTATAGCCAATGGATATTGAGCGACTTTCAGCTGATTGTGGTACATACTAGGGTGATCCATAAAATATAAACATCTAAATTTTGTATGCGCCGCCCCTACATTGTGTTTTACATTGAAAGTAAAGACTCCCACGAAAATTTCTAAATTTTCAAAAAATTTTTGGGGTCGCAGGGTTTGAAAAAAATGTTTTTTTTTAATCGCAAAAATTCGTACCAAAATTCACAAATTTACACCAAGTTGTACACCAGTGTGCTACTTGAGCCGTTGGAAACGATCCCTAAATTTTTTATAAATTTTGAAATTTTCGCGGATGTCTTTATTTTGTCGATAAAGCGGTTCGCCATGGTGTCGATATTTTAAGCACCACCATAATACCTTGCGTATCTTTTGAACGTTGGTCCCAATCCTTACAAATACGAGTACCATCTATACAATTGCAAAGAACTTTTCTAACTAATTAAAAAAAAAAAAAACTTTTTTAGTCAGGTATGCTGTAATGACTGCCAATGTCCGGTTTAGGTTGTGACTTAATACTTTTTCACGCTGCTTAGCAACAATAGAAAAAAACACCCGTTGGCCAAACAAAGTAACTCAATTTTTGACGCTAGCTTTTTGCTCTAGATAATATTTTCCGAATATGTTGTTAAGTAGATAAATATGAAGTTTTTCAAATCAAACTAGCGCTATGTACCCTGCAAACCATCCTTTCCGAGAATTTTTAATGCTAGGAAAATCTTAAAGAATTCGTTAAAATTGTCTAAGACGAAAAGTATTGTGCACACTTCGATGTTTTAACAAAATTTCTAAAGAAAATCGATAAAGAAATGAAAATAATGCGGCGTTGTGATGAATTTTTCCGAATTTTCTTTAAGTAATTTCTTTAAGAGTTCGTGTCACACGCTTCATATGATTTTCCTTGAGGAATTCGGAACAAACTTCCGATACTGTTAAACTCATAAAGATTTTGGGATCTTTGGTTTGCAGGGTATGCACATTTTCTTTTTTGTTTACACACATATTTCTTAATTTAAAAATAAATACATAGCCCACTTATTTATATCATTTCAGACGTGGTACGAAAGTCTGTTTGACACTGTGAAGACGATCTTCGATTTTTCGTTGTTTGCGGATATGAAATTCACATTATTTAATTTATCAACATTGTTTTCGTTCATTTGGTAAGTAAAATTTATTTTGTGAAACTTTTATATAGACATTATTTTTAATCTAAAGTATTAAGCTTAAAGTCCCTTTTATATAATGAACTTTTCTTCTAAAGCAGAAACCTTATAGTCATTTATGGGTATTTGTGTAATTGTTGTTCCATGGACTTTATGTCACGGTTCCATGGAACCCAAGGCCAAGGAACTCTAGAGAAAATTCCAGTTTATTATTCTGCGGCATAGAATTTTAACTTGATGTACCGGGCAAAATTATAAAACAAAACCAAAAAAATTTATGATTTTTGATGCCAAAAAGCTGTGGTCCATAAGAAAAATATTGTGGTAGTTTATATTATTCAAATTGGATGGTGAAATTTGACAGTCATTTGCGTATGAGTGTGAGCGTTTTTTTGTTTATAAATAATAAAACCTAAATAATCTGAAATAATTTTGGCAGCTGCTACAGACGCATGTATACATGTCTTTTTTTTTTTTTTTTTCTCATGTATACATGTATGTGCATACATATGTATGTATGCATGTACATTAGGGTGGGCCAATGTTTTTTACTAAATCGTATGATTCTGCAGGTAATTCTAAGAGAAAGTGTAGAAGAAACTATGCGGCGGAAATGAGTTGCGAGCCTGCGCATTTTTAAATGAAAAAATTAACTTTTGCATACAAAATGTCTATATTTTATTTTCTTAATTTTCTTTATTTATCCATTGATGCAAATGTTCATACTTTCCGATTTTTCCGTTTAAAATTCTGTTTGCTGTCAGTGCGGGATAGTTTTGTCCTACAACTTATGAAAAAAATTAAACAATGTAATGATAAATTATAGTTTTGAACATAGCGTGCGTGCGGAGTGTATGAACATTAACTACCAGTAACAAACAGTAAAAAGTGACAACAAATAAATTGTTTATAATTTGTCAACATTTGGTGCGTTTATTATTTTGACAAGGGGTGTATTTTTGCATGGTAAATATAGTAAGTTAATTAAAAATGTTATAAACTAAAATATAAGCATTTTGTATCCATTAGTTGTAACAAAATGTGAACATCGGGTAAAACAACTATAGAACAAAAAAAATAAACTTTTGTAAAGTAAATTTTTCTTTAAAAAATTCGCGGGCTAGAAATCCATTTCCGACATATAGTTTCTTCTACAGTTTCTCTTAAAATTATCTATATAAACCGCAAATGCCACGCGATTTGTCGAAAAACTTTCGTCCGAACAATTCGACCAACCCTAATGCACATACTTGAAGCGACGTTGTTAAAAGTTTCGCTTTTATTTTTATTGCTTAATATACATATGTGTGTGTACATACTAATGTACATTAGAGTGGTTCAACATTTTCCTTTTCCACAGAACTGAAGAATATAGAAAATAAGGAGACGACTAGTATTTTTTTATTTCTAAATAAATTGGTTTATATATTGGGGCGGACCAAGGCATAACAAGGTAGAAGTGATTTCCACATTTCTCTCTTTTGAACTGCGACTGAAATGTCTAAAAGATGCAGCGATTTCTATTCTCAAGTTACATACGTGATGCAGTACGAATGGCAATTATAATAGGGAGGTTTTAGTTTTTTAAACTATAATTTTTGATTTCATTAACTCATTAACGTCTGTGATCAGTGATCGGACTTCTACCACATTGTGGTAGATCTGCCACTTTTTTGAGCATCTACCACATCTACCACTCAAGGTCTGAAATCTACCACATATTCGCGTTTTTGCGTGGGTTTATTTTTGCTCGACATAATTTTCTTAATTTTAAGAGCAAAAATTGTCCAACACTAAACACTATATGGTAACAAGAATGATATAATACAAGATTCCCCATTCCCGGCGACGATGAAATTTCTCAAGAAAAAGTAAACAAAACCGAATGGGAGCATAAACTAAACTGTAAAATAGTAAATTTTCTCAGTAATAAATTTTTCGACAGAAAACGTGGTTTTATTTTGTTAAATTGCAAAATATATGATTTATAAAAATACTTAATAGCTAAAATGTTAAAAAATGGCGTTTTTTGTGAAAGTATTAGCAAATTTAAGTGCATCTAAAGTTTCTGAGGCGTTGTTTGTCTTTACTTGAGAATTGTCAAAATCGGCAAATCGCAAGTAGCGGTTTCTGAAACGTGCCACATTTGTTCGCTACTTCGTGATGTGATAAAAAGAAAAGCTGGCAGCCATTTTTTATATACCACTTACATAAGTTACAGAGCCATATTCCGTGATTAGGGGTGTCTTCTGCAGCTTGGTAAAAGCCAGGCGCAAGCAGGTGCAATAACTTCAAGTCATTAATGCAAACATCCGAGTCTACTTCTGTCATGAAAAATCTACTCATAAGAAACGCATTTGCCGTTCGAAGGCACCATATAACATTAGGTCAAACTAAACTGTATACGCTAATTTTTTCATACATATTGTTACCAAGTTATCTTAATTTAACTTTAATTTAACTTTTCAGCTCAAATCCTATATTCTTCTTAATTACAGGTTTATTATTCCATACCTTTATCTGCCTGAGTACATGAAAATCCATGGCTATGAAACCGCGGACAGTGCGATGATGATTTCGGCCATTGGAGTTGCCCAAACTATTGGCATGATCGGACTCGGCTATGTGGGTGATCGTTCGTGGATGAATGTTAATGTCTGCTATTCGGCATGTATGGTGGGTAAGTACAAACTACAAAAAGAGCAATGATGAATAGGTTCTTAGTATCAACTGGAAGTGATTTCGGTATTCCATTTACCTTCAGGTCCATTCTGAGCTGGTAGCATAACTTTTGAAACTGGTAAATAAAGTTGGAACGGGAACTTTTGTTAATACAATTTTCGATTACAAAATATTCGGTAACGTTCAGAATACGTAGGCCTGTATGCATACGGACCAAAATCACTTTAAGAAAAAAAATGTTAAGATTGCTCTAAGAATTTTAAAGATTTTTGAAAATTGAAAATTTGTCTTATAAAATTTTTTTTACTACTATATTTTCAGTATGTGGCATGTCGGTGTTACTAATGCCCATCCTTGTGTCGCAATATAGTTTACTTCTGTTAATGTGCATCATATTTGGCTTCACATTTGCCAGCTCATTTTCATTTACACCCAGCATTTTGGTCAGTATTGTGGATTTAGATGATTTTACATGTGCCTACGGATTAGTGCTGTTGGTACAGGGTGTCGGTATGATTGCAGGACCCCCCATTGCTGGTGCTATTTACGAAATGACACTGAGGTAAGTTAAGTGAATAAAGTCGTTGAGACAAATCTATGTACTTTAGAGCGTACAAAAAAGAAGTCCGCACACTACGGAGAGTAAAGTACTTTTGGCAAGGCAAAAAAATAAAAAATGTTAGCCAAACGTAGCCGTACATTTCGTCATATTTCGGCATTTACAATCGGATCTTAAAGTAATATATATAGCTGTGCTTGTCTTGAGGAGACATTTTTTTGTGCCAAAGTGCATTGACCTGACCTCAAGTAGCCAGGTCTAGTTTCTACCCACCAAATTTCTGTTTTAATCACCCTAATGTATTTAAATTAAAATTCACCAAAAATCATTAGGCAAACTTTTGCTAGGAAGGTAATTTGATTATTCCAGTAGAATTATTTTCAACAATTTTTTTTTCACGCCGAATGTGTGTAGGTGTCACCGACATATGTAAAAACGGGTCACAAATGTTTTCAAATTGCCTTACAAAAAATACCTTAAACTCAGGGGCACGGCACGGAATTTATATGAGGTGGTGTTGTTTCATCAGCTGTGAGTAGCGTTTGATTGTCAAAATTTTGAATTTCCTTAGTTTCCTTTTTCATTCGGGAAAGAATAGCTGAAATTTGACAATGGCCCGCTAAAAGTAAAAACAAAATACAAGTAATTGTTGTGTTTGTTCAATCGATACCACCTTATATGTATTCGCCTTGCTCCGGGGTGTACGGCGAACTTTTTTTTTTTGAAGGCTGTATGTACTTCTGTTACAGAAATTCTAATAAACACTAAAGCTACCTGATTTTATGTACAATGCAGAAGCTGTATATATACTTATGCCGTATTTGCACATGGTTATAAATGACAAAAACAATGTTTGGTGAGATTGGGCATTTTTAATTGGTACACAATTTTTGTTACTTCGATGCCCAGCGGAAATTCGGCATTATACTTTTAGATAAAAAAATGTCCTTTTACTTATCCACTATGATTAATGCGTAACTAAACAATTATTATTCTTTTCGTTTACAGATGGGACAATGCATTCTATTTTGCCGGTATATTTATGGCCTTATCTGGTGTGGCCTCCTATTTGATAGAATTCTGTGAGAAGCGAGAAAAGGGAAGTGACAGTGATGTATCTGAAACTAAGAAATCTAATTTATTACATTAAAAATGTCTGCTAATAATAAATTCGGGACTATTTGAATCGACAGAAATTAACGTTAAAGAAATAAAGTACTTTTTTTAGCATTGTAGTCTAAAGTATACTGTGTTATACATACATATGTATGTTTATGCGTGTACTAAGTAGCATAAATTTAAAATTTAATTTTTCTGTATTCAAGTTTATATATGTATAAAGTTTGAAATTCAAATACACTTATAGATTTTTCTTATGTACTTGACGTTGAAGAGTAGACATTTAAAAGTAAAATTTACCTAGTTAATTTCTTAAATACTCTACATGTATTGCATATAAATTTTTGTTATGATTTCGAAAAGGCAAAAAAAAAGCTACATACAGAATATATGTCTGCGTTAAATAGAAGGGCTTAGTAGTTAAGTAAAACTTTCAAGATTTTTGAAATTATCTGGGCTTTTTTCAGTCTAACAGCATACCTCTATTGTTCCAAGACTTTAGAGAAAGCTTTTACATTTTCAAATTCGCTGAAATTACTTCCCTTAAGATTTCACTCAAAATAAAATCTGTAAAAATTTTAATAAAGCAGTTTAAAAATCGTCAATTTCATTTATTTTATTTAAAAAAATATATATACATATATACAAAAATATTAAAAAAGTGAAGTTGGTAGTCATAATTGTATCTTGTTACTTAGCCAACACGAAATTCGAAAAAATACAAACAAAAGCACATTTATCTAATAAATAAAAATCGATTAATACAAGTATAGTGAATTTTTACGAGAGGTTGTTGAAATATGTATTCGAATTTTTTACTGCAGTGTAGCAGTACTGCAATAAAGTAAAACTCTAGATACACATACATACATATAAGCTAGTAATGCCAGGTTGCTCAATTTATTTGTGTTATTATAGTTATTTTCGGACGATTCCTTATTTTTATTATGTGTTTATATTATTTTTTATTTGAATACATATAAAAAATTAAAAATATACAAATATATATTTCCTTGTATAAAACTTTATTTCTCAGACTTTTTCAAGATTTATAATTATTTAAGGAGTTTGTTGCCTATACATACAACTGAATTTGATGAATTTCCTTTAATTTATTCTGATCACCAAAAAATAAATTTTACTTTCATTTGTCGATAACTTTTAGTACTTGTGGAGATGCTGGTAAAAGAATTTTTCACAAACGAACTTTTTTGTTGGGAACTGTTGGCGCTTGGCATACACATATACGTGTTTTAAACAACTTACACTAGGCAAATATTAAAAATTATTACTTACAGTGAAATCTCGATTAACTACTTGCATTTTTGTACAATCAATTGTTAATGAATACAATAATCGATTCTCTTAAAAGCAAAATTAAACTGGAAAATTATGAAATAACTAATTAAAAACAATCACTCTGAGCACAAAACCCAGAAAGTAATAGCTATACAGATATAAAGAAAAAAAGCACGTTTAATGAGAGGTTTACTTAGAATTCAGGAGCGCTTTTAAGCAGCTTTGAAGCGTTCCATAAAAGCTTTGGAAATGTACTAAAAGCTAAAGGCTTTAATTGGCACAATACGTATACATTTGTATGTGCATAGATCGGCGACGGACAGAGAGAGTTTTTACTCTGCAGGCGCCTGTACACAATGTAAAGAAAGCTTAAAAGAGCTTTGCCCGCGGGCAAGGTAGTGCCCATCACCGGCATAGATTCAGCTTTTACCTACATATCTTCCGGTCCGAAATTAAAAATCAAAATTTTTCGTTGTATTATTTTTGTTTCGTTGACAGCTTTCTAAAAGCTTCATGCGCATATTAATTTAACTTACATACATATGTACATATGTGTATAAAATATACGAAGCTTTCACTCAAACACTCTGTATGAAATTGAAAGTTGGCCACTTCCTAGGCGGGCGGGCCAAAGCTTTCAAAAGCTCTCTGTACAATTTATATAAAGTAGAATGAAAGCTTTCGCTGTCCAACCCTGATGTAAAGCGTAGAATTCAAATTTTTTTTGGAAATTACGGGAAAACTCGAAAACTTTATGATCTTACACTTAAATTTTCCGTCATTCCCTTAATTTCCTTTCGGTGAAAGCTTTGTGAAAATGGATATAAATTTTTTACAACTAGTAAACTTTCATAAAAGATAAGGATATATTATTTCAAGTTTATTTGTGAAGTTAAAAAAAATCCATTTCATTGCTTTTCTGAAGCTAATAAGAACCATCTTAAGGCTTTTTGACATTTCATTGAATATTTTGGGCCCTCATGAGCATATAAATGCTAATGAATAAGAAAGTATTTATAAAATATGGGGAGCTTTCACTCATACTTTAGGTCCGAAATGACAATAGAGCTTACCTTTTCACTATTTCTCTTCCTTTGAAAGATTAAAGCTTTGTGTTTGCCATTTTTGAAAGCGTAAAATCATTATTTACTATTACATTTTAATAAAATGTAGATAACTTGTGCTCATAGTCCCTTTGAAAATTTGAAACAAATTGAAAAACTTCTTTGTAAAAAAAATTTTAAAGAAAGATTTCTGAAGGCTTAACAATTTTATGAGCATACAAATTCAATATTTACAAATAAACTTTCATAACATATAAGTGCCACACGAAAGCTTTATGAAAACTTTGCGAAAGCTCCAAAGTATTACGGCGTATAAATATATACTTGAAATGCCATATTTTTTCTTTAATTAAGGACCACAAGAAATTTAAGAGCCGCATTAAATTTGGACGAAAAGGTGCATAAAAAATAGGGAGTTTTCACTTAGATATCCTTTTTTGTGAATTAAAAAAAAGCTCTCTATTTAATTTTTGTTTTTTTTTTTGATAAAGTTGAAGCTTTGTAAATGTTTATTGAAAGTTCATGATAAGAAAACACGATTTTCCATTGTCTTTTTCTTTCGTTGGAGGACCTTGCGGAAACTTCGAGAGCATTTAGTGAAATATACTTAATTATGTGTAGTAGTCTAATGAAATTCGAAAAGTAACCCGAATTATAAACCATTTAAAAATCGCAACAAAAAACGAGGTTGATATTAGTAGAAACAAAATATGTAGATATGTTTAAAAGAGAAGAAAAATATAGCAAAACGACAGGAAGGCACAATTTCATAATAGTTATACATATTTAAAGCCACAATTAAGCCATATTTTCAATGCTCAATGCCTATTTTTTTCCCTTTTCCTTCGAATATCTTCATTAAGCAAACTTACACGTTAAAAATATTAAGCAAATAAATTAAGAGGTAATGAAGCGATGATGAAATTGCTGACTTAATTCTAACTTCCATGTTTTATTTTATTCCCCTCAAAATTCCATGCTTGCTTTTCATTCTCCTACAAACAGAAGTACATACATACATACATACATATATGCAGGATAATCTCGAAAATACGCTCAACTAAAAACCGCTAACTTAGAGAGAAGGGTTGTCAAGTTCAGTTTTTCAAGTTTTACAGAAACTTTTCTGTTTTGTATGAATACCGCCAACTTAGTGTGCAAAGGGGACAATGAGTTAAAAAATAATAATAATCATCATACGTGAAGCCGGTAGGTTACGTTAGGTTCACATGGCTGCTGGTCAAATTGCCTGCACAATTAGATCTGCAAATGGGCCCTTTGTGATACCACAGATATCTCGAGTGTCGAGTCTGTTTCCTAACCCGTTCGCTTTGGCCTAGTTCTCGAAGTCAGTATGACAACAGCAACTCTCAATAAATGACTACCATATTTTCTATATGTATGTAGTATTAGTGCGCAATAACCTCCAATGGTACCAATTCGGAGCTAGGTATTTAAGGAGGGTACTTAAAAGAGAGAAATTTTAGGATATAATAATTTGAGCAATTAAAACCGTTGTAGCTAGGCGGAATAAGGATACAAGCGAGGAGGACTGAAGCGGACTTAACAACACTTGAGTATTTTCCCAAACAATGGAATGTTTAGCTTTTCCTTTAATCGCAAAATTATTCTTATACGATGTTTACATCAGGCTATTTTACAGCAACCTTCAATCACCTGGTGTGTATTTAAGCAGCGAACTTTTGATTCAACTTAAGCATAGACCACACGATTTGTACATTTGTACAAATTGGCGAATTTCACCCTTACAGAGTGGTGAAGTTTAGAAAGTTTTATTTACAAATGCACAAATCGCCCTATCTAAACACCATATTACATTAACCTTTTTAAGTTCTAGCGCGTTTTTACTTAATTTTTTTTTTGTGCTTTCTTAGTGTGTTATTTTTTCGTGCCTTTGGTTTGTTTTTTTTGTGCAATATCTAAGATAAGACTTGGGGTAGTTTTAAGCGGCGGAAAAACAATGGAAATGCTTTAAAATTTTGAAATGAAATTCAATTAAATGATTAAGACTCTTCTAAGTTATCTTAAGTGCAAACAAGCCTATTTAAAGAGAAATTGTAGATAGTTTATTTTCGAAAAAAAAAACCCAATTTGCATACCTATTGCACATACATATGTATGCATTTACATCAATACGTCAAGCATGCATATATATAGTATATAAAATCTATTCATTGTACTGTACGACTGGGTGAAAATCGCAAATAAGCTGTTATAATACGGTTAATTAAATAAAAGTTTTAATAAAATTCAAAAATTCGCGCGGAATAACATTGAAACTATTTTATTGTCTTTTTATTTCGTGTAATTAAAAATGGCTTAAAGGAGATGAAACATACGAAACCAGGTTCGAATAAACAAAAAGAAAAAGTGGTTTGATTTCTTATTTGTGTTTTTAACCGACTTCAAAAAGTTCGGTGGAATATCTATTTATTTGTTTTGTATGTCAAGGCTGGTCCCATACTACGTAATTTGGTCTAGTTCCTAAGTTTGTATATGAGCATTGAAGTCGGTTGTTTTTTTTTTTGCTTAAAAATTTATTTTATAATTTTTGTTATAGTTATGTACTAGTTTATTTGGCCTCTAAATCAATCGGATTTGCTAATTATGAGGTAAGTAGAACATTTTCTTAATACGCTGAGAAAAAAACATTTTTAGGGGATATATGAAAAATGAAATACCATGAAACCACGACATAACGAAGATGAAGGGATTACAAATGTGCTTCGTTATATCTATAGTTTCTTTATACAAGTTAACAAGGGGGCCAACCTACTTACTAATGTGAATGTGCTGACGCCGCACTTCGCCAAACACGCGCATAGCCAATGCAGGTAATTGACCTGCAACGTAAGCGATACCAATCGGTTTTATGCAACCAAAATGCAAATCGTGGGAAACGCAGCGTCGGCAACTAATCAATTAATTCGGGCCGTTTAGATACTTAGCGATAGCTTTAGGTAATATTTTGTATTCATTATTATTTGGGAGCTCAATGGTAAATATACACTTGTACTGCTAATCTTGCTTTTCATTTCTATCCTTAGGAAAACTTTAATTTTTTCGTTAAGTGGCGCCCGAGCAGGGACCCACTGAAATGTGGGTCCTTGTGAGGAGCCTGCTTAGCCGTGGGACTCCTTCGGGAAGGATCCCCTTAATTGTGGGAATCCTTTCCGAATGATTGCTGTAGGTGATGGAAAGTGATGTGATAAAGTGGTAGT